ACGATATGAGCATTCTGCTGCACTTCCAGCTTTGAAGAGAGTATAGGTGTCTTCGAACCTCAGAGACACTTCTTGAGGTCCCTCCTTCCTTGCTGGCACTTCTGAGTCCGAGGTGGTGGCCAGAGTGTTCCACGGCCCAGGATGCTGGTCAGTTTCTTTGAATCACTTTCAGGGTGGAGACAACAACCCAGCCCAAGACCCTCTTCTTTTACCCTGACCCTGTGGCCTACTTCCAATGGGTCAGTGGCGTGGAAACGGCAGCGTTTTGGCCAGTGCTGGGTTCTGGACCTGGTTTTCTAACTGGTGGAGCAGTTTGGCCTTCGGTTCATCTCTGAGCCTCTGGGGGGAGGGAACTAGGTTATCTGTGCATTTCTAATGCTCTCTGGGGCTCTTACCCTGGTGTCATGCATAGAAGTTGGCTGTCTGTGAAGCTGAGAGGAGAAAGTTGCTTATTTTTCCTAAACTTTCAGTGAAATTGAACATTTCCTTTAATTATGAAGGTAGGCAACAAATGTCTGCTGTCAACAGGAGCAGTCAGGTGTTTCTCTGTTCATTACGGTTGTCACAGATTCCTTTTTTTTTTTAGATTTATTTATTTACTTTAGAGCACGCACAAGTTGGGGGAGGAACAGAGGGAGACGGGGAGAGAGAATCTCCAGCAGACTCCCCACTGAGCTCAATCCCACAACCCTGAGATATTACCTGAGCCAAAATTGAGTCGGACCAGTCAACCGACTGGGCCACCCAGATGCCCCCGCCCCCAGCTTTTTTTTTTTTTTTTTAAGATTTATTTATTTGAGAGAGATTGAGTGTGAGTGCACACCCACGCTAGCGCCAGTGGGAGGAGCAGCAGAGGGAGAATCTCCCCTAGACTCCCCGCTGAGCATGGAGCCTGCCGTGGGCTCCATCTCACTACCCTGAGATCATGACCCTGAGCTGAAACCAAGAGTCAGAGGACACTCAGCAGACCCGAGTCCCCCAGGCGCCCCCATGGTTGTCACAGATTCTTGATCTGTCATGCGCCCCGTTGCTGCTTTAGAGTTACCGTATTGTTAGACTTGCCAGATCTTATTACACTGATAAAGAAAATCACGTACTGTTATATCACACTGTCACTGCTTTAATACTTTGGTATTTTCATCCTTTGTCCTCCTGCGTATTTGTTATGCCTTTAGAACATCATTCTGAGGGGCGCCTGGGTGGCTCAGTCGTTAAGTGTCTGCCTTCGGCTCAGGTCATGATCTCAGTATCCTGGGATCGAGCCCCACATCGGCCTCCCTGCTCAGTGGGAAGCCTGCTTCTCCCTCTCCTTTTCCCACTGCTTCTATTCCCTCTCTCTCTGTGTCTCTCTCTGTCCAATAAATAAATAAATAAATAATCTTAAAAAAAAAAAAAAAAGAACATCATTCTGAGGGCAGCCCTGTTCTTTTCCATGTGCTAGAGGAGTCATTCATCTCATGACTAACAAGAGAGCTCCTGTCCTCGGGGGTGATTTTGTACCTCCCTGGGGACTCGGAGTCCCGCCTCTAAAAAGGTGGGCATGGGCTCCTGGGTGAGAGGAAGCAGCAGGTGTCATGGGAGACGAGCCGACCCAGGTCCAGAAAGCCTACAACAACCACACAGCCCTAATGACATCATGATTCACTGTTCAAAGCCCAGCCGTGGGCAGGGGTGGGGATGGTGTATATGTTTTAGACTTTATTTGGTGCATCATGTAGCTATTTAAAGGCACAACACCTCTATATATTGTTGATAGCCTGAATTATTTAATTATGTGTAAATACATCTTTCCATACAAAAATACGTTTTTAGAACTTTTTAACAAAAGCATTAAAAAAAATCTCAGGGGCATGTGGATGGCTCAGTCGGTTGGGCGTCAGCCCTCGGCTTGGGTCGTGATCCTGGGATTCTGGGATTGAGCCCCATGTGGGGCTCCTTGATCAGCGGGGAGCCTGCTTATCCCTCTCCTTCTGCACTACCTTGCTCTCTCTCAGGTAAATAAATAAAATCTTAAAAAATAAAATAAAATAAAACAAATTGCAGAAGCAACGCATGTTTACTATGCAGAATGGACACACAGTAGACGCAGTGAATTACCAAGTGGGGCTCCCGGGGTCCGTGTCGTCCTGCTGCCCGTGCTGGATCCGTCCTTGAGGATCAGGTGCCAGGAGTGGAGTTGCTGGCTCAGAGGGCAAGTTTGTTCTCTATGAATTTTGATGCTTTTTGGAAAATTGCTCCCCTGAAAATGACTCCCTTCCGTATCCCCACCCGTAGCGCTGTGTGTGTCTTCTCAAATCTTTGCCAACAGTGTGTATTTCCTTTTTTATCTTTGCTGATTTGATAGGCCATCATGTTTTCATTTGCATTTCTTTGATTCATTGCATCATTGAATGGTTTCATTTGGTTTTGGCTCTGGGTTTCTTTTTTCCTCTTATGAATCACCTCAGTGTTCTTGGCAGTATCACTCAGGATCCTGGCAGGATGCAAATGCAGCCACAAAGTCTTTACATGAAAATAACGAAGGGAGCAGTTACAGAGAGCAGGGCCGAAGAAGCAACAGGGCTGGATCCCTACAGGGGTCCTGTGAGCCTCTCGGGCCTGGGCAGGTCGGGGGCATCCCAGTGGGAGAGGGGTGTGGCGTGGAGTGAGGCAGGAGGAGTAACAGCCATGGCTCTCCTCTGCCCCCCTCTGGGGGCTCCTGCTGACTCTAGGGCTGTAGTACCCAGGATCCCCCCCCTGGAGCATCAAGGAGGACAGAGAACACATTTGGGGACACATGGGGAAGAGTGAGCACACTGGCTTCGTCCGTGTCTTCTTCCTGGGCATCTGCCTCAGAGGCCTTTGGACAGCAGTCAGGAGGTCTCCCCTGCAGCGAGCCCCTGCCACTTTAAGGCCTCCCCAGGGATGGTGAGCGGGGACACGATGGCCTCTCTCAGCCCAGACGCCACGTGCTGCATTGGTGTGCCTGGGCGCCCTGGTTTCCGTTTGCATTTTAATTCAGGTGTTGTGTTATTTATATCCATAATACTGTCAAGAATTTTGTAGACAGACCAAACATAGGTCTGCTGTGTTTTGTCCCAGGAAGCTGTAACCTCAAGTCATTTCTCTGTCAGGACCAGTCTGAGGTGCCCAGTACAGAGCCTGCAGTCAAGTGCAGAAGGAGAAGGTTGCTTCCCCCGACTTAACACACACACAGCCGCGCAGGAAAGACGAAGGCACGTTCAGCTGTTCTCCCTTCCCCAGCTCCCCTTCCTCCAGAACGTCCCAGAACGGAGCTGGCTCCTCCTGTTCTGTTTAGGGCCGTGTCTTCAGAGGGTCGGAGAGCGCCGTCCTAGGGAGGCTGCATGGAGGCCACCGAGGGCCTGGGGAACGTGTGGGGCTGGAGAGCTCCTGCTGTTTGCAGCCTGTGGGATACTTAGCTGCAGCCCTGTTATCTGCACACTAGGTGAGCAGAGCTCCCTTCTGCCCCTGTTGTGCCAGCTGGAAATGTCCCAGCTTTGCCTGGTGTCCCCTGAGGGCCTGTCTGTCCCCAGCTGAGAACCCTGCGTAGAGAAGTTCAGACACTTGTCAGTAAGCCCACCGGCCAGGACCCTGCACAGGGCTGGTCTCTGCTTTCTGTGTCCCCGGTTTCAGAAGTGGCCTGGAGGTCTGGTGACCATTCGCTGGTAGGTATGTTGCTGTGATGTTTTACTTCTTAGGTTGGTTCAGGAAGATATGTTCTTAGGGACAAATACTTTCTAGCAGGGATTATTAAAGATAATGAGAAAAAGGACCGTGTGATCTGCAAAAGGGTCAGGCTTGTGCGCCCGGAGCAACCGTGGTTAGGTCTCCTGTCTGCCATGGGGTGCTGGGACAGGAGACAGAGCCGTGCTGGAACCTGGTGCTGGGAAAGGTGGTCTTCTCCTCCAGGGGCCTGTCCAAGCAGGACCAGAGCCTTGCCAACAGCTGTTCGGTGTGGGTAGAGGGTGCTGTCTATGTGGGGCTGGGTGTGGAAGGCCGTGCATGGCAGGTCATGGCAAGTGATGGCGGGGGGTGTCTCTCGGTAAGTGTCAGGGGTGACGCAGCATTTCACATGCTCCTAAGAGAAGGGTTTTGCTCTCAGACAGTGGGCACTTGTCACATGGGAATCCCAGTCCTGTGTCTGTTGGTCACAGGGAAAGGCGGAGTGACTGTGCTGTCCTGCATATTGGAGGACGCCCCATGTAGATGCCTCAGGAGCCATGTGGTAGAGAGGCCGGCTCCTGCCCAAAGTGCCGCCCTCTCGGGGCTGCTTGGCTGCTCTTGAGCGCCTGAGGGCCTTGAGGGCCACTGGGGTGACTCGGGTGACTCGGGTGTTGTTGCATCATCTGTTTTGTGACGGGTGGGTCCAGAGGGTCCTGCTGTCACTGACCCTAGGAGTCTGTGGGTTGAGCTTGGCGAACCTGGTGTTGCAAACCCAGTACCAGAGGCGGCAGGGTGTTTGGAAGTTTCCCTGGCCAGAACTCCTGGGTCTCACTCCCTTTATCGCCCCTAACCTCCGTGAGCTGTTTGTTAGGGGGCGCGTAGCCTGCATGGGGTCGGGTCCGTTCCCATATCTCTGCATTTCCCGTCTCTGCCTGCTGTTTTAGGCACCACAGGTCCAGGAGTGAACCAAACAGACAAGCCCCCTGTCTTCAGGATGCTCCCAGCTAACAGGAGGCTGGGCGAACGTCTCTCTAGTGTGTCCGTGAGAGGTGCCCAGAGGACTGCGGCGGGCTGGCGTGGAGGGACTGCCCTGGCAGGGCTGGTGTCACAGAGTGGGTGACCTTTGAGCCAGCCTTTAGAGGAGAGAGCCCCAAGAAGGGGGTTTGAGGGGAGGGCCCTGGACAAGTCAGTCCAATTCCAGGGGACTAGTGCTGTGACCGAGAGCTCAGTTACGCCTTGTGAACCATGACGTCCTGATGGGTGAGCATCCATGGTGCAGTGTTGGTAAATGCTTGTGTCTCAGCGTGACCTTTCTCCCTTTTTTCTCTTCTCATCAGCTAGGGCCAACTCGTTTGTAGGAACAGCCCAGTATGTGTCTCCAGAGCTGCTCACGGAGAAGTCGGCCTGTAAAAGGTAACTCACTTTCATCTGATCCAGGATATTTTCATTTCACTACAGTAGCTCTTACCTTCGTTTTTTCATGTATGGTTAAGAGAGTGCCTTTTATGGCTTTTATCACTATCTTTCTTGGATAACCTGTGTGCTCCTTTATTCTTTGTTATACTTCCTGGGGCTGTTGTGGCTTGATGCTTTGAGATTTGATCTTGTTCCTTTAGGAGCAACTATTCAGTGGGGGAAAAGTGTGGCCAGGAGGTCTGTATTCCTTGCCGTGTCCCTGAGCTCTGGGATCCATAGCGCTGCCTCCAGCTGGTGCCCCCTGGCGGTGGCAGCGGCAGCAGGTCAACTCTAGAAAAACAGGCTCTGCAGAGTGTGGGGAGAGGCCCGGAAGGCAGCCCGTGTGGGAGGGGGTGGAGCTAGTTTCCCAGCCAGGGCCCAGCCAGTGCGAGCCATCCCTCCCCAGTGCTTAGAACCGGCACAGGCCTGGAGCCACAGGGTCGAGGGCCTGAGTGGGGGCCTGAGTTTTGAAAATGAGAGGTGCATAGGTGAGGTTCTGCTCGCAGGAACAGAGGTCTGGAGAGTGAAGAGTCAGCAGCAGGGCAGCAGGAGAGAAGGGGGTGGGGGTGCTGATGGCCAGGAGCAGGGAGAAGTCAGGAGAGCGGTCTTGGGCGGGCCTGAGGCAGGTGGAGGATGGAAAGGTAGCAGTAGAGTCTGGGGTCTCAGTGTTGAGAGCTGTTCCAGATGACAAGTTCTGTGGCTGGAGCTTTTCTGTGGCTCCTTGATGCTGGTGACGGAGGGTGGGGGGGCTCCCCTGGGTTGACTGAGGGCTGCGCCGTCAGTGTCCTGTACTGGCCGGCTGCAAGGAGCCACTTTCCTGAGAGAGCCCTGCCAGAAGTGGCAGAGGAGTGAGTGGTTCTGGGGGCGGCTCTGTGTTTCTGAGTGTGACTGCTTTTTGAAAACTCCCTAGGGGTTGGAGCCGCAGGGCGCACATGAAGGTGGGTGGGCCTTTTAGCAGTCTCTGGGTTCTTTGTTTTTGTTTTTTTAATCTTACTCAATCCACAGAATCTGAACTCTTCCTGTGGGCCAGACATTGTTGTAGGGCAGGGCTTCTTAGCTGGGGCAGTTCTGCCCCTCAGGGCACGTTTAGCCCTGTCTGGACACTTTAGGTGTCACCACTTGGCAGGAGTGGGAAGGGAGTGCTATTGGCGCCTGGTGGGTGGAGGCCAGGGACACTGCTCAGCCTGGTGAGATGCAGATAACAGCTCCCCAGCAAGACTGAATAGGCTCCTGGTGTCCACAGTGCCGAGGCTGGGTGGTGGGTGCTGCGGGCCAGATTCTCGAAGCGGGTGTCATGGCTGCCTATGGGCTAGCTTTGCCTCAATTTGGGGCTTTTAGGATGAAGTAGCCCTTTAGCACTGATGGGGGAAGGCTTCCAGGCTCTACTGGGTGAGATAGGAAGGGAGAGTGGCCACTGCCTTCTGTGTGAAAACTGGAAGGAGCATGTCTACCCACGTTCACTTGCCCGTCATTTAAACTCTCCTGGGTGGGTGCGCTGGCAGTGGGGGCAGTGGCCCTCTGGGGGCGTGAGGGGGTAGCTCTGTGAGGGAGACGGCATTGTGTATCTTTTTATGCTTTGAAATGTGTAAGTTGTGATATTTATTCAAAAATAGTTAAGATTTGTTTTCTGATTCTAAAAGTGATAACCTGTGTATTGTAAAGAATTCTTAGAAAACGTGGAGGATACAAGAGCAAGGAACACTCAAGAGTCTGCAGCCCACTTACAAACACCAGTGTCTTTGCAGTTAGTTATTTCTGTGTGTCTTCTGTATGTTCACGTGACTTCTGTTCAGCTTGAGCCCTGTTTCTTGGGATTACGCAGTCAGCATCTCCCATGTCCCTGAAGTCATCTGTAGACATCTCTGACACTGTGTGCTTCTGGCACATGGATTTACTGTAGGTCATTGAGCTCTTCCTTTATTGTTGGCGCTGAGGCGCTTTTCATTTACGTAGCACGATCTGGCGTGACTGCCACGTGCCGCACATGCCAGGCCCTGGGGAGGAAGGGCGCCCCTGCGTGTCCTGAGTCTGCGGGGGGCTGCCTCGCGGTCCTCTGCTTGGATTGCAGGAAGTGGAATGACTTGGTCTAACTTAGCATTTTAAAAATCCTTGGTACAGGGCGCCTGGGTGGCTCATTTGGTTAAGCGACTGCCTTCGGCTCAGGTCATGCTCCTGGAGTCCCGGGATCAAGTCCCACATCGGGCTCCCTGCTCAGCAGGGAGTCTGCTTCTCCCTCTGACCCTCTTCCCTCTCGTGCTCTCTATCTCTCATTCTCTCTCTCTCAAATAAATAAAATCTTTAAAAAAAATAAAAAAATAAAAAAATAAAAATCCTTGGTACATACTGCTTGCCAGAAATATTACACCGACTTCCTTCTTTAGTTTTTATTGTACTAAAAAACCATCTCAAATGGTAGGAGAGCTGCTGGTGATAAACATTCAGATAATGCACAGGAATGAGAAGAGCCCAGGCCCAGCTGTGCGGACGCTTCCTGGAGGCGGCAGCCCGCGCATAGCCGCCCACTCAATCTCTGGCGGCTGCCACTGCCAAGGGCCAAGGCTTTTCTGTTGGCGTCTGTCTTGTGTGGCTCCCCATTTTCACTAGACTGGATAGTAGAGAAAACCAAGTGTAAAACTAGTTACTAGGTAGAATGTAGGTTCGGGTTTGTTTTTTTTTTTTTTTTTTTTAAAATATTTTTTTTTTTTGACAGAGAGACACAGCAAGAGAGGGAACACAAGCGGGGTGGGGGGGTGGGAGAGGGAAAAGCAGGCTTCCCGCCGAGCAGGGAGCCCGATGAGGGGCTCGATCCCAGGATCTTGGAACCATGACCTGAGCCGTAGGTAGACGCTTGATGACTGAGCCACACACAGGCGCCCTTGTGGATTCATTTTTTAAATGCCCTTCACTCCACTTGCATGTTGTGCCTCAGATTTCTGATCTGTTGTATGTTTTAACACACGTCACATGCCTTTCCTGCCCCCGGCACTGCGGCTGGCCTGACCCTTCCACCCGTACCTTACAGTCTCATCTCCTGAATGGAAGGCCGTGGCCTCTTCCAAAAGCTGGTTGTATGCAGCAGCCCATGAGCCCTTGTACATTCAGGGCTCGGGGGAGGCAGCTGGCGGTGTGGGACAAGTTGCATCTGGATGATTTTGTAGTGCTGAGCTGGGAGTAGAATGAAAAATTTCCAGGGGCGCCTGGGTGACTCAGTTGGTCAAGGGAGAGACTTGTGTTCTCTCTCTCTGTCAAATAAATAAATAAAATCTTAAAAAATTAAAAAAGGGAAAAAAAAATTTCCAGAGGAAAGAAAATATGAAAGTTGATGTCAGCCATGAGCTCCAAGAAGGCACTGAGGGGCGAGAGTGAGCAGGACAGGGTGGGAAGGGGGCGGCGACATCACAGGCGAGAAGAGCATCCCCTCCAGGGTCCCTGCTAGCTGGTTCTGGAAACAGCTTAGGGAAGTTTAGAACTGTTTCTTTTAAAATGTGGAATTAAAATATTTATGAAGGAGGGGTATGGCTTTTCACAAGTTCAAGAAGGGACAGAGTTAAAGCTTGCTTTGTGCACATCCTGTGGAGTGTCTCATTTGGCCCCTTGGCTTGCATCTGTGTTCTGGGGGTAAACGCTGAGTGAGTTGTGAGAGAATCTAAGTTGATCTGTCGCTGTACGGACCTGCAGTGAGTGCCGGGAGCCCCCTTACCAGCGCCACCACCTGCTGCCCAGAGCTGGAAGAAGGTGCTTCTCTGTCACTGTCAGGAGTGACCTCTGCTATCTCTTCAGGTCCACATGGGCCCTGTGAGACAGTTGGGAGCCCCCCGGCAGTGGCGGGGCTGTGAGAATGGCTGCATGGCCTGGCCCAGTAGTGCCTGCTGTGTGGTGAGACTCTCCGAGTCCAGGTCCCCAGGGAGGCCCCCTCAAGAAGGACCCTGAGCAGGTTCCTACCCTACACTGACCTGGTTTTAAAGAAGAGAAGTAGATCAGAGATGGGGCAGTACGAACCAGTAGGGCAGAAGTAAACTGTGCTTGTCACGAACATTTTACAAACGTCGTTCTTCTCTGTTTTTCCCCTCCCTTAAAGTTCAGACCTTTGGGCTCTCGGATGTATAATATACCAGCTTGTGGCAGGACTGCCGCCTTTTCGAGCGGGGTAAGACCACCTATCACCCCCAAGCCCATTGCAGCAGCTGCAAGAGAGGTGGGAGGGGGCAGCCGCCAGGGCTGGGCCAGGGCTGGGCCAGGGTTCGGGGACTTCTGCAGCGGTGTCTCTGCAGGAGAGAGGGAGACTGCTGGCCCGGGAATTGTAAAGCTCTGTGCTGGGGAGGTTCGTGCACTCTGCCCAAGTGATGGCGTTTCTTGTTTTACAGAAATGAATATCTTATATTTCAGAAGATCATTAAGTTGGAATATGACTTTCCTGAAAAATTCTTCCCTAAGGCAAGAGACCTTGTGGAAAAACTTTTGGTAAATATTCTGAATTGTCTTCTGTAAGATGATCTGACAGCCACACTCTTGAGTCCCTCTGAACTTGTAGTCAGAGCAGCTTTCCTGGAGGCCCCTGTGTTTTAACAGAAGGGTGTCTTAGGGTTGATCATGAGTGTAGGTAGATTTGTGTCATCTGATCACTGTAAGTCCTTTTCAATTTCCAAATGCCCAATTCTTGACTTTAATAAGACAGGAAATCATTGTATCATTTTGCATTTGTTCATTAACATACATAGGATTTTAAGTTACTTGTTGCTGGAGCAACTAGGTGTATTACAGTGGCAGATGGCTCTAAATCCTGCACAGTGACATCTGTGGGTGTCAGCTTTAAGAGTCTGCTGCAGGAAGGTTTTAAAGATCACCCAGGTACTATGGTAGAGGTAAGCGATTCACGCAGCAAAAGTATTTGAGTTTGTGTTTTGCAGCTGCAGTGTCCCTGCCCTGGTGTGCACGGGTGCTGGACCCCCCCTTCACTCCCTTTGTCTTGGGGACAGGGTCAGCCCTGTGTCAGCCTGCCTCTCCAGGGCCTGTCCCATCAGCAGGCAGCGTGCTAATGCTTGGTGGGTCTGGGGGCATAAAGCTGAATCTGGGAGGAGACAACTCTGGGGCCCTTTGAGATGAAGCACGGGTGGGAGAACACAGCATTTTGAGTTCTGTCCGTGGTAGCTCACCATCTAGACAGATTCATGGTCTCTTTGTTATTAAAGACAGTATGTTTATTTTTTTCTTGTAGGCTTTTTAATTGTGTATTTTAAGAGAACACTTGATGCTATTCATTAAATTTTGAGTTATTTTCACCTGTGTAAGGGGAAGGCTAGGAGCTTGAGAGAGGTAAACGAAGCCCCGGGGATGACTCTGCCGTCCATGGCACGCCGTGGGATGGGGCGGGACAGGCCCTAGTGCCCTCCTTTGTCTGAGATGAGAAGATTTGAAAAGTTGTACTCACAAAGAACGTTTTTGTCAAATACTTTTCGATCCAAGCACTGACTTGTGTTGACTTCTGTTTCAGGTTTTAGATGCCACGAAGCGATTAGGCTGTGAGGAAATGGGAGGGTACGGACCCCTGCGAGCGCATCCGTTCTTCGAGTCCATCACGTGGGAGAACCTGCAGCATCAGACGCCTCCGAAGCTCACCGCCTACCTGCCAGCCATGTCAGAGGATGACGAGGACTGCTACGGAAACGTAAGCCAGCCAGCATGTGCACACATGTGCGCGCGTGCGGTGTGTCTGTGTGTGTGGGGGTGTGTGCATGCGTGAGTGGTGTTTGTGCGTGTGTCTGTTGGGGGGAGCGTGTGCATGCACATGCACGTGTGTGTCAGGAACAGCCCCACAGTGCTGTGTGCCACCGTTCCTCGGTGCACAGGGAGTCCTTGCCATGGGCCCTGGGAGCCCAGCTTGTGGACTGCATGGCTGGAGAGGAGGCCAGTATAGACCTATTGGTGGCTGAGCCCTGTGTAGCCACTGGCCGAGTCTCCCCAGTACGGGGGCCAGTGAAGCGTCCGTCTGCCCATCTGCCCCGAGCGCAGATTGCGAGGCTTGGGGGGGGTGAGGGCAGTCTCCTTTTCTTACTGTGGTTAGTTTTCCCTCAGAGGCAGCCTGCCATTGGGTTGGGGAGATTGAAACCAGTGGGAGCAGCACCCTCCATGCTGTCCCCCTGGGCTTCTGTCTTCTGCTTTTGGCTGGTGCTTTGTAATCGTGCATCTAAAGACATTCTGGAATGCTTCTCATCTTCCAGAAGCCCCGGGTGCTGCTGCTTTGAACTTTTGGGGGACACTGGTCACTGTTAGCTTTTTGTGCCTAGTAGAGGTGGGGTCTTGAGTATACTTTGTTGTTTGAACGTTCCTTATGGAGGATGTGAAGACACGGAAGTGGGCAGAGGGGTACAGTGAGCGGCCATGCACCCCCCTCACACCACCAGTGACCGGCTTCTTGGCAGTCCTGTGCTCCTCCTCACCCTCCACCACGACCCCCCCATGTTTAAATATGATTTCCCATGTTTCTGTTACCATCCACAGTCCGTTCTCTTGGTGTAACTTCTGTCATCGTGGCTTATTCTAGCCAATTCCCGTGTATAGAGTGCCACGTTAGTTGACTGGGGAATTTAGATTTTATCTAAAAGTCATCCATAGCTTAGTTAAAATTACTGTTCATATCCTCTCAGAGACCGAGTTTCTTCTGTCTCCTTACTGTTGTAAACAACACATCACCCTTTCATTGTCCTAAAATATCCTTTGTGCCCAGAGTTGAAGGGAGTCGGGTGTGGGTAGCCATCTGGGCTCACTACTGGCCTGCTTTCCCCACCACAATGGTCTCAGCTGTCGGCAGCCTCCGTGTGTGCGGACTGCTGGGGACCCCACCCCAGGACTCCGTCCCCCGGGCCTGATGTCCTTCTGGAGCCGTGGCCGGTGAAGCAGCTTGCTCGGACTGCCGGCTCTGCAGGGGCCACTTAGGCCGTTGTTGACTTGGGGCTCAGCTTCGTGGAGCTGTGTGTGCCTGTGCATGTGTGTTAACATGCACGGTGGAGTGTCTTGGGCAGGACTTCTATCTGCTGATTGGTCGCATTCACCTCGCTGCGAACCCTGGCTTCTCAGTACTCAGGTGTGGCCATCTTAGAACCAGCTCCATTGGTTAATGGCTTACTTTCTGTTAGATGGCTCATCCTCAGCTTTGAAAGCTGTGTGGTTTGAAAGCCTTGGGGAGGTATTCAGGCAGCACTCGCTGTACCAGACTTTGCATTTGGACAGTGAAGTGAGCCTTGACCTGGGAACGTATTTCATATGGGAGGGGGCACTCCCATTCTGTGGGTGTTGACAGTCTGGCAGGGGCATGTTCTCATCCACGAGGTTCTGAGAGAATCTGGGGTCCTTTTCAGCAGGAAGGAGGCTCCCTCTGGGGGCAAAGAACTGGGAACTGTTTACTCAGGGAATGAAGAGAGTGGGCACTTGGTTCTCTTGTGTGTTCTTAATCTGCTGCGGTGGCTGGTGGTGGTGCTGGTGGTTAGACCCTGGAGGGAGTGTGCCAGGTGTGGCACCCTTGGAAAAAGCCTCCGTGCTGGGGCATCATGGGGAGTTTCCTTAGTGCGCGCCAGCAGGTACCCCCATGCCAGCCAGTGCCACCCCTTGTCACACGCTCTTTCTGGGCTTGCATTTGTGCTGTGGGTTGTCCTAGATGCTACCAAGGATCGAAGAGCAGAGAGCTGATAACATCTAGAGCTTTCTGTGGGGCACGGTGCAGCACCGCTGCCAAGACAGGAGTCGCCCAGGTGATGGTGGCGGGAAGCCAACAGCTGAGACAAGAGCAGGGCAGCTGCTGTGCTGGGAAAGACATAGAGGACCAGTCCTAATTCGGTGCTAGCTAGCAGGCTGTGGTCTTGGGGGGCAGTTCCATGCCTCAGTTTCCCTGTTTTAGAAATGGAAATGTTGGAGACATCCATCTCACTGGCCTTGCAGCTCCTGAAACACCTGGCGGTGGAAGCCTCTGTAAACTTTGGGATGTTGAGAGGCGGCCTTGGTCCAGGGAGTCCTCACAGAGCAGAAGCAGAGAATGTGCTAGAAGAAGACCTTACTTAGATGAGGGGCAGTAGGAGTGTCCAGCCAGGGTCAGTCCCACCTAGGAGCCAGTGAGGTGGGGCTGAGCCTGCTGTCTTGTGCAGTGTGAGCACCTGGGAGAAGGCCACTCCCAGCAGTGAGTCAGGAGGGTGGGAGCATGGTCTGCAGGTGGGCGGGGAGTGTGCTGTGTCCGGGGCCCACCTTCAAGGGTGGCAGCCAGGGCCTTTCTGGCCACACAGGGGACTTGGAAGGACACGCGGGCTCTGGTCTCAGCCCTTGCTGATGGCTTCTTTTCCCTTGTATTTGACTGCAGTGGGTGGGGTTCAGGCGTGGGGCCTGCAGCTGTGGGGAGCAGGCCGTCAAGGGCGAGCACTCTTCCTTAGGTCTTTGTTGGGGGCTCTCTGACCCTCTCACCGGCCCCAGGGGTATCTGAGTGCACAGTCTTTGCCTGTTTGGCACTTCTGTAAGTCCGTTTTCGTGTGACCACCGGTTTATAGCTTTCTCCAGAAGAGCCCGCAACTTTTTATCAAGTTGAATTAATACTTGCCGTAGTTAAAAGGGATATATTTTTTAAAAAATTGAACAAATTGGGACATAACAGTGACAACCACAGACTTTTAGAAACGTCAAGCCACAGGGTCAAGGAGGAGGGCTCCTGAGCTTACAGGAGGGTGCTGCTGCACCCAGGAGGCCGTCCGTCCCTCCTCTTCTTTCCTCTGGTTGGGGTAGCCCGGGGCTTGCAGGGGTCAGCCAGTCCCCAGGCCCTGGGTCTCCTCTTCCTGGGAATGAAGACTGGGGGTCAGCCCATCAGGAGCGGGACCAGACCTGGCAGCACCCAGCCCTGCCTTGGTTCAGGGGCCCGCCATCTGGTGGCAGGAGGAGTCAGAGCGGCCATGGGGGCCTCGAGACCTCCAGGGCGTGAGCTTGCTGGGTCTGGGCTGGGGGCCCAAGGGGAAATCGTTCGTGGCTCTCACTCTTCCCTCTCTCTGCGCAGTACGACAACCTCCTGAGCCAGTTCGGCTGCATGCAGGTGTCCTCGTCCTCCTCCTCCCACTCCCTGTCCGCCTCGGATGCAGGCCTGCCGCAGACGGCGGGCAGCAACATCGAGCAGTATATCCATGACCTGGACACTAATTCTTTTGAACTGGACTTAGAGTTCTCCGAAGATGAGAAGAGGTTGTTACTGGAGAAGCAGGCCAGTGGAAACCCTTGGTAAGAATCCATAGATGTAAGCAGTGCTCCATTTAGAAGAGCAGAGCCGAGTGCGTGGGAGTCGAGCAGCGGGAGACCGAGAGCACAGGCGCCCGCCCTCCATCTCCACTGCCTGCCAAGGCCCTGCGTCACCTCCCACCTCCCTTGCTGCCATTCATGCTCGGGAAACGAGGACCCTCAAAGGGTCCAGCCTGAACTGGGGGTTTGGAGGTGTTGGCCTGGGGATGAGAGGGTTTGAGACCCTCAGGGCTCAATGAGCCAGGCCTTGCCGGCATCTGTGTTCTGACGTGCATGCCCCTAGGTGAGGCATGTGGGGCGTTCCAGAGTTTTCACTATTGCAGATCATCTCTTGCATGTAGGTTTTCCCACTTGCCTGGGTGTTTCTGATAAGGGGGAGCCCTGGTTTGGCAGGTGGAGTAAGTGTGAGCACTCGTGAGGATGCAGTGCTTTGTGTCCACGGTGCTGGAGAACCCCCGTCTCCCAGCACTCTTGCCTCTCCTGAAGCACTTTGATGCTCTAAAGATGGGTCATGGTAATTTGCATCTGTATCCTGGTTGAGGCAAACATCATTGGCTGTTTCTATTTATCTTTTGAGGTACTTGGTCTTCTTTGACTATTTTTCTTCTTGTACACTTTCCATCTTTTGGAAATTGACTCTGAGAGCCATGGACGCAAAGAATATTTTTGTTGTATGTTTCACAAACATTTTTTTCAGTTTGTCTTTTCAGTTTTTTTGGTGTGTATTTTTGTATAGAAGTTCTAAATTCTTACAAAGTCAAACGCGTCTGTGTTTTTATTTTCTGTTTTCTGTCTTGGTCATGTTGAGAAGAGTGTGTCTACCCTGACACTTTCTTCATGCATTTTTTTGGTTTCACCTTTCACTTGGGTGGAGGGGAGTCCGGCGCAGGGATGAGCGGGGAGGTGCGTTGGGTTGGCATGGGCATGGAGGGAGGAGGCAGGCTGGGTGGCGGGCTGGGCTAGGCGGGCCCGGAGGAGTAAGAGGAGGAGGCAGGGTGCAAAGGAGAAGCAGTGGGTGATGAAGCCAGGGTTGCAAACCATTAGAAATTAATTGTCTCCAGTAAAAGTGTAGTTAGACGTCAGCCAACTGGAATAACCTACAGTTCTCGGGAGTTTACCTTTCCTAAAGTGGTGGTGCTTAGGAGTATCAGTGTGTACAGAGTAGGGAGGAAGGGGCTTTGGTCAGAACGGTGTGAGCACCACCAGGCCGGGCACTCTGGGCAGGTCTGTGCGCCAAGCTTCCTGGGCCTGCTGTCCTGCAGCCTTGGGGTGACTCCCCAGAAGGCTTGTGTGCCTTTGCTTAGGGCCCCCCCTGAGGCCCTGCAGCCTGGGTTCTGGGCAGGACTGAGGCCTCTTGCCTTCCCTCCCTTTGTTCCGGCTTCTCATCCCTTCCCTCCAGGTTCAGGCTCTCTGGGCTGGTGATTCTCAAAGCTTGCAGCATCTCTTATCTGGCAGGGCAAGATCTTTGTTCTTACGACAGGGCACTCAGTGTACAGCCCAAGGGGCATGGTAATAATTGTGTAATAGCATTAAGAGGTTTCTTGCTTTCTCCCTGTCATTCTCCGAGTGTGTGTAGTACACATCTTCAGAGGCTGCACCCTGGACTGTGATGTTGCTTTGGCAGCTACTGGGCTGTATGCTTTGTCCTTTTTGAATCGACAGGAGTAGGTTTACAGTATAAATATGTACAGCTTTAGAGATTTAGTGAATTCTCAGTAGTTCTGCTGTGCTCTTAGCTGTCTTCAGTTACACCTGCTATAATCACTGCAACTTGGTGTCATCTGGTAAATCCTTGCTTTGAAATCCTGAAGTTTTCCTTAGGCCTACGTGGACACACAACAGAACCTCAGGGCACTTTGCTGACTTGTTTTGCAATAAAATTTAAAGATTTCTGGAAAACATTTCTAAATTTTATCTGAAACTATCATTGTAGATCTTAATGATATATTTAAAACAAAAGGACATTTATAACATTTTTCATATTGACTCAGAGAGAGATGTGCTTTTTCAGCCCCTAGCAGCCCCACCCACATTCGAGGGCTGTCAGAGCGCTCTCCGATGCGTGTTCCGGAGACACTGGGCGGAACTGTAGATACAGAGCTACAACAGGCCGGGGCTCTCTTCCCCTCATACGTGGGCATGTCAGTGCCTTCCGTCCGTGTCTCTCAACAGAACGGTTTTGCGTACTGTTCTGGTGCCGGTGGAACTGCAGCGCCAGAGGCCTGTCATTCAGAGTTGGAATGATAAAGGAATAGCTTGTTGTAAGTGTACATGTGAGGAGCTCTTTCAGAGCCAAACTTCAGAAGCCGCTGTGGAATCTTAGAAGTTACGTTGTCCAGGCTGGGAAAGTGCACTCGACAGCTGGGAGGCCAAGGAGTGTTGGGCCTTCGACATGGCGGAGTGCCTGCCGGGTGACAGTCGGGGTGAGGAGTCCCGGCACTGCCACGGGCCCTGGTGCATCAGCTTGCTGGGCTAAAGAGGCGGCTGTGGACACCAGGAGTGAGTTGGCATCCATCTGGCCGAGTTACATTTTTTCCTTATGAGCGGCTAAATCTCCAGATGCTGCTCATATTGCAAGCATTGAACCAAGTGTGATCTTCAAGTCTCTGAGCCCAAATTCACATATTTAGGAAGAGAAAAGCTAACCGCAGTCCATGCACATGGATGAAAGCTAGAGGATCATTCATGGTTAATTACACTGTGGTGTTGAAAGCTCTAGAAGCCGGAAGTCACAGGCCTTTAGGTCTTTGTGGATGTCCCGCAAGGTATCTGCATTTTCTTGAGCTGAGCAACCTCATCATCCTTCAGCTTCTGGCTGATCACACCCATTTATTCCCAAGCATTCAGGGTACATGGAAGGCTCAGGAATACTTTTCTCAGTGCCATGCATTCCCTGCACCATCATTGTCACTGGATGCATCCTGGCTAGATTTTCAACATGGATTCAGTGAGTTTAGCCATATTTAATCCACTAGTCCAGTTGGTATGTCCTTTGAGTGTGATGACTTCATAGGCACTTTGAACCACCCTCGTATGCACTCCCTTCCAGTTTCCACTGTCACCATCTGTTCCCATTTCTGGATTCAGTTCCTGGGCACAAATGCCTGCCGTGTTCACTCCACACATCTGCTCTTGAGTCGCCATGTTCTCCCAAAGTCCATCCATGGCAGCTGCTGGGATAAGTGCCAAGTGTTTCAGCCGTAAGATAGTGAAATCTAACAGAATCCGGATTACACCCACTTGGAATCACACAGTGCTTGCGTAGTCCCCTTAGTTACATATGTGAGACGTCCCGTGGGTTGAAAACCACAGTCACAGCACCACCAGGACTGTACTGGACTATCTGAGGGATGGTGAATTGGAAGACACTGACATTCCTCTGCACCAGACTGAGCTGGCTCTCTCCCTCCTGTTGGGGAGGGCCCCTGCAGTTACCACCCCAATGCTAGAGTCGGCGGTCATAGAGTAGTCTTCATGCACCGTAGTTTTAGCTGTCTGAAGACACAAGCTCCCATGTTGCAGACCCATCATTTCTCCTTTGAGTTTATCTTCCAAAACATCCACAAGGGCAAGTTCATCAGCCAGAGAGTTTCCCAGAATGCTTATGGCACACACCATACCAACTTGTCCGGCAACCACCGGAGTGATCTTACCATTTGGGAAGGTTGCCTCTTCTGCAGTTGCAGTCAGTTTCTCCGTCAGACTCGCATGAAGAACAATTGTCAGCTGCGTGTATGCCTCCTCAGGCTCAGGGCAGGGTCTGCCTCGAGTCCTGCCTTGGAATCTCACTGCTTGTTCTGGAACAGATGCGTTGTTGACCTGGGCACCCGTGCTGCAGGAGCAGTGGCGGGCACAGCCTCGGGGGGCAGGTCAAGAGTCCAGGCTGTGGCACCAGGCGGTGCGCGAGCACCGCGGCTTTCTGTGCACGCCCGGGAAGAAAAGAAACCAGGCTCACTTGGGACTAGTTGTCAAAAATTACTGGTTTTATTAGTAGTCTGAATGAAATGGGAAGTGTGCAGGAAGTATCTCTGCTGCCAAGCCAAGAGTGAATTCTCTCAAGCAAAGCAGTGGTGTTGGGAGCGTGGTCAGCTTCTCTTTGCATGCGAGACCGTTTTCACTACAGTGTTTTCCTGGCAAACTGGGGTTATTCAGACTTGGCCGTTGGGCCATTTTTTTCTGGAAAAGGAGTGGAATGAGCCTGTCCTTTAAGACAAACAACTGCCAGTATTTGTTACCAGTCATAAAATCGATATTAGGATTTGGGGAACCTTTATCCCTCTCTGTGAGTTTGACATCTTCCCAGGACTTAAAGACTTGAGAGAGGTCGTGACGGTAATGAGTTGATTGGCTGATACCGTGGGAGGTAATTTGTCAGTTTGGGAAGATTTCCATGACTCGGCAAACCACCGTTTTCCAGGTGGGTGCTGGGGGCAGAGCTGTTCAAAGTGCCAGGTACACCGATGAGTTCTAGTGTCTCTAGAGTGTGAGAGGGCCGTCGTGGGACTCCGACTCCAGGTGGCAACAAACCTTGAAGGAACTCCGCTTGTTGAATTTGGGTGCATTATCAAAGAAGAATGCCCGTCGTCATCTGAAGAGGCTTTTAAAGGCACTCCTTCCTGTTCCAGCTACTTGACTCAGTGAGGCTGAGTCCTTCGTGTGCTCCAGCGTGCATAGTGGGGCACAGCCCAGTGAAGGCTGGGGCAGATGGGGGGGTCACCCAGCCATCTTCTCCAAAGCCAGATACTAAGGAGATATGCAAAATGTACAGTGGGGTCATGCTTCCCAATAAAGAATTGTCTTTATTTTGGAAAAAAGTTACTCTTGAATAAAAATGTTATTTATATTAGTATGTGATGGTTTTATTTGTGGTTTTTAATGAATTAAGTATTTAAAAATGTCTCCGTTTTAATTTCTCCTACCTAAATATCAATGTGTAACCCCAATAAAGGAAATTTCTTTGGGATCTTCCATCAAGTTTGAGGGTGTAAAGGGGTCCCCAGAACTGGCGTTTTAGAGCAAACTGGTCACTTGTTCTTCCATCCCTGGGTCAAAGCCCAGTGTGGAGAGCCTTCCTGAGGTGGTCAGAAGAGCCACCTCGGGGTTCTGGCCGGCTCGCTCGGCTTCCCTGGGAGTGACTGTGCCCTGAAGTGGCTCAGACTTGCTTGTGGCCTCAGGCTTGCATCTTCCAAGATGACCTTCTTGGGGCCTGGGCGTTGCTAGAGGGATAGGGTGAGGAGGAGAGAACCCTGGCTTTGGAATCAGGAGGAAGGAGTACCTCGACAGCATCCCCCCCTAGCGAAACAACCATGGGCAAGCCTGCGTGGACGTCGGCACAGAGCCAGTGGTGAGCGTCACTGTGTGGTCAGCACGATCTGCTGACCACACTCTTGAGAGTCTCTGACTCGGGTCTGGCTTCAGCTATGAGTCTGCAGATGGCGTCCACCACTTGCCAGCGAGGAAAACGCACCTCGTGCACAGGGCGGGGGGTGCATTTTCAGGGGAGTGGAAATTGACTTTTTGAAGTAAAAATAATTCCTTTAATAAGTGCTTAAAGTTTCCAAGGTAGCTCACTAGCAGCCTGTTGTGAGCTAACTGGCAAACGCACTGCACGATTGCATTGTGGCATTTGTGCTAATAATGGAGCTTTGGAGCCTCTCTGCGTCCTGCCTCGGGGTTGTTTCACCCCAGCCACTGGATCCAGTCAGGAGCCCGCATTGGCTGTCAACACCTGGGAGGAGTGCGAAAGGCGGGGGCTGCGCTTGTGCGCGTGTGACAGGGCCCGAGAGCGTGCTGGTCCACATAGTCAGGCTGGGCTCTGTCAGTGGGGTCCTCACGGCAGGGATGAGGAAGGGGCTTGCCTGCTTCCCTGCAGTGCCAGAATGTTCTGTTGCTGAGCCATTGCTGTGGTTTTGGTTTCACTGTGATACTGTTGTGGACATCTGTGCTTCTAATCTTCATTTTTCTTTACCTCCTGAGGGTAAATGGCTGGGAGTGGGATTACGTCTCAATACATCATTTCCAAATTGCTTTTAAGCGAGTTTCAAGTTCAGGACCACAGGTTCCCGTGCTGAGCAGGTGCTCACACACAGACCAGGGCAACCCCAGTAGGGCATCCAGGAAGGGCAGCTAGCTCAGTTTTGTTTACTTAGAGCCATTGAAAATTTTGGGGCCACGCCCTCTTTGGGGAATTGCTAGTTTGTATCCTTTGTTCTCTCTCTCTCTCTCTCTCTTTTTTTTTTTTTTTTTTTTTTAGCTTTAAGCTTTTCCTGTTGCTTTGCATGTGCTCTGCAGAGTGATGTTGACCCTGTGGGCCATATTTACTGAAGACCTCTCCAGCCTGTCTCCTGGTTCACCGTGGTGGTTCTGTAGTTGGAGGTGCTTTTGTCCCCCCGTGGTCCTGACTGCTGCTTAGACAGGAACTCCTCCCCCCTCTCCTAGCTCTGCCCTGGCAGTGGGGTTGGGCTGCTTTGAGGCTGCCGGCGAACTGGACTCAGTGTCAACTATCCTCAAGGAAAATCTTCCCTAGTTTCTCAAGCTCAGGGAAAACCAGAATCTCTTGTTTGATTAATATTTTATTCGGTGTCTCCTGTCACCACGTGAAGCTGCAAAGATACTGTGAGACCTGTCAGGCTTCCCTGGTGCTGTGGCACCATCAGCCCAGCGCCCCGGGGGTCTGGCTACCTCCCCCCACCCCCGACTCCCCACACCCATTACAGTTAATTCAAGTCTTCTCCTTATGGTTAGTTTGTGGTTCTTTACTACACATCCAGTTCTTCTACATTAGGGTCTGTTGGTTAGAAGAGGCTTTCTGTTTGATCTGTTTCTGCACTGCAGATCATTCTATCTGCTTTTCAAAAATATCCTAAATTTTTTTCCTCTTTGTTTCAAGGCTTGGTTTTGTTTGTTTGTTTGGTTTTTAAGTACCTCTGAGAGGGAGGTGTTGTACTTTCCCTCATACAGCACTGTTTTCTTTAAAATTCTTTTTAGTTTTCAGAATCCACCTGCGGCTATGTCCACTCACATGTAGGCTGGGTCCTTGGGAATGGGTCCTCTGTGAGCTCTGGAGCCGGCCTGGGTCTGGTTGGGTTAGCATGGGCAGACCTCGGGGCCAGGTGAGCTGGATGGGAAAACATGGTTCTGCCAGCTTGGCCAGTTGTCTTGCACGCACTGGGTCTTGGGTGGGTGCGCTCAGATACTAAAGTGGTAATAAAACAGTCACTGTTGGAGGTGACAGTTGTCTTAGGCCTTTCCAAATAAAAAATACTGTGTTCTACAGTAGATCTTCAGATCAGGAATTTCAGTAAAGTCAGAACATAAACCGGCAACTATTCACTTTAACCAAAAGCAAGAACCCGTAGACATTAAAACAACCTTTTTTTATCCTCCTTGGAGTCAAAGTGAACTATACTTGCTAAGAATGCACATTAAGTCAAAGTTGTGTTCCTAGCTTTCTCTTCCAAACTCCTGCCATATTTGAGTAGGAGTGCTGTGTTACTATGGTAGAAACACCAGAGAAGGTGTTCTCAGACCGTGTCCGGCATGGGTCTTTCCAGGATCTGTGATTCTCAGCTGCTTGGTGGTTTCTGAGCATTGGATTGGGAGGCCCAGCTTGGGGAGGTAGTGCGTGGCCAGCAGTCTGTGTCCTGGGGTGACTCTTGGAAGCCTCCACCCTTTCAGGGGCCCTGTGTTCACCCCAGCTTTGTTCACATGAAGGAGGACCGGCGTCCCCTCGCTGCCACCTTTGTGCTGCCAAGCCAGAGGTAGCAGCAGGCAACGGTGCTGGTCCGCACACCCCGATCGAAAGCTGTCGAGCAGTGGGCACCTGCGTGCACCCTCTCTGACACTTGGGGCCTCCTGAGTTCCTGGAGCGAGTTGGGGCTGTGACGAGAGAGGCTTGGGCAAGGCACGCAGATGCCCTCAGCAAGTTCGTTTTGAGTGGAGGAGCTTGGGGAGAATTTCTGTCCCTGACTCAACGTGAGCGTCTCATTCTTGTTTCCTTCTTTTTATAGGCACCAGTTTGTAGAAAATAACCTAATACTAAAGATGGGTCCCGTAGATAAGCGGAAGGTAAGTCGGACTCTCGCTGCATCTCCCCAAGGGTCTGTCACCCCTCAGCCGCGTCAGGGTCTGGCCTTTTGCAGCGGGCTCTGGCTGATCCTTGCTGCGCATGTGTCCTTGGTCTTGGTTCCCTTTCTCTGAAAGATCATTTCTAGATTTGACGGCTAAGGAAGACTTGAGCCACTTGGGGGAAGCTGTTTGAAACCACACAGGAAGGCTGTGGTAAAATAGACAGCCTCTCGTTTCTGGCTTGGGGTTTTGATACCCTATCAAGTTGTCTCTTAGTTCATTAGAATTGTTTTTGAAATTTTTTATTTGTTTCATGGATTGTGTCAAAAATATCAGACTCCACAAACAGTCTGCCGACATGGGCCCTTCTGAGTTCAGGCCCCAGGCCTCTGTTCCTGGCCGTGCTGCACACGCCGCCCTGGTCAGTGCCAGCAGTGGGGAGGCCCCCCCTCCCCTCATGGAGCAGAGAGCATGAGGGGCGCCCTGATTGTCCCTGGCAGGCTGGGTGGAGCAAGGCTTGGGTTTGCCTGCCGGTGCTGCCGCTCCCTCATGTGGCAACAGGAGGGAGACACGCCCAAGTGGGGCCATTGGAATCCAGCTCACAGAGGCCGGGCAGGCTGGGCGCTTCATTCTGCCTGTCCCTCTCTGACCTGAGAGGCCAGGTCCCAGGTGAGCAGACGGGGGGCTGGCGCTGGTCCTGAGCCTCGGGCTGCTGTGATGGCCAAGCCTCTGAGGCCGCGATAGGTGCTGCCGACTCCCACTTCTGAGCCCTGACCAGCAGGGTCTTCTCGTTTTGCATCAGGGTTTGTTTGCACGACGACGACAGTTACTGCTTACAGAAGGGCCACATTTGTATTACGTGGATCCTGTCAACAAAGTCCTGAAAGGCGAAATTCCATGGTCACAAGAACTCCGACCGGAGGCTAAGAATTTTAAAACCTTCTTCGTGCACACGGTGAGTTTGTCTGTACGGATTCTCTGCAGGGCAGTTGTCTCCCCCTCTTCTCGTGTCCCGGGGCCCCACGCTCCCAGCTCAGCCCCGAGCTGGGCCCCCAGGCCCCTGTGCTTGTCTGTCAGGGTGGGGGTGACCTAAGGGAACTGTAGGTCCTTGCCCGCATGTGTGATGTCTGCACATATGCGCAGGGAAAACCCACATGCTCGTGTGCCTCCAGAGGTACCCTTGGGGGCTGCAGTAGGGTGCTGCTCTCGGCGGGACCCCTCAGCATCGTTAAACGGTTTCTGTCTCCACAGCCGAACAGGACGTATTACCTGATGGACCCGAGTGGGAATGCTCACAAATGGTGCAAAAAGATCCAGGAAGTGTGGAGACACAGATACCAGAGCCACCCAGATGCTGCTGTGCAGTGACAGGTCTGCGGCTGCCACAGTCGCTGCCAGGACACTTGCCCCAGCGCGGCTCGCCGCCCTCCGGGACGCTTCCAGACCACCTGCCAGCCATCTCAAGGGGGACGCAGACGGCGGAACCTTGCAGCTTTTTTATTTAAAAGAAAAGAAGAAAAAAATACCCAACCACACAAAGAACAAAACCAATAACAAAAAGGAATTCAGGGTCGCTTTGCTTGCTCTCTGTGCTCTGTGGAGGCTCCCCAAGCTCTCTTTGCCTTGGGGACCCAGCGCCGTGCACGTCCACCTGATTCCCGCCCGGGCGAGTGGAACAGGCTCGGGTCACCAGCTCTGCATCACATGCCCTGGTCATGCACCGGCCGGTCCTCCTGTGGCCGAGGGGATGGGGTGTGTGTCTGGGCTCTTCCTGCCCCTAGGTCATCACAGAACCCGTCGGCAGGGAGCCCCATGCACGCCTCTGCCAGGGTGACTTCGATCTCTGGCGGGTGGGAGGGTTCTTGGCTTTGGTCTGTGTGCTTCTTTTCTTGTGTCCCTTACTTGATGCCCCTTTGCCCTGCCAGGGCCCCTGCTTGCCTTCTTGCATCGCTCTGGCTGTGAGCACTCCATGGCTTGTGTTCATTGGGCAGGCTCCAGGCGGGGAGACGTGGAGTGGGCTGTCGGGGTGCGCTGCGGAGCTGCTGCTGAGGTTGGAGGGTGCCAGCAGGCCGTTCGCATTGAACATCCCTCTGAGCGGGGTTGGCCCTGTGGAGCTCGAAAGAAGCACAGGTCTGGAAAGAGCACTGTGAGAAGTGGGCACCCAATTGCGCCAGGAGACAGGGAAGGCTGTGCCCCACTCCGGGCGAGGCCAGGGCATCAGGGCAGACTGGGCCTGGCGTCCCCCACGTGGAGGAGTGCTGCCTGATGAGCCCCTCCTGAGAGTTTGGTCCGAGGGTGGAACATGCAGGCAAACCGGCGCGGTTTGCTAGGGCTGAGGGTCTCTGGGCACCAGCGGTCAACCCGCTGTGACACACACCCCTTTTGTGGTGAGGGAACGTTCCTGTAGCCTGACTCCCCAGCACATTCCCATCTCCACAGTGAAAGTCTGAAAACCTTCTCATGCTGCCAGGTCATTTATCCCCATCAAGTTGTGGACCTTGCCGGGAAAAAATGTTGCTCACCTTGCATGAGGGGTAGGAACACCACACTGCAGTCTGAGCACCCAGCCTGCTTGCCCCCTGTGCTTTCAGCCTGCCTGCCTTTCTCTTTTCAGAGGCAGCACAGTGCTGCATACCTACTGCAGGGGGTCCAAGATTTGCTGGTCCTTTGATTTCTTTGCTGCTGCTCCCTGGACAGAGAAAGCGGGTGCACCTGGGGGTGCTCAGAGCTCCTCTCCCTACCCAGGTTGTCCCTTGAGGGCAGTCTACAGCCCCAGGTGGGGGGTGGGGCGGGTGGAGGCACTGCTGCCTGCAGGCTGCTCACAGACTCATCTCTGTCCCCAGGGGATGAACAACTTTGCCGTTTCCTGGAGACTTTCACGAAGGCACCAGCAGAAGGCTCACACAGGAGAGGTCCCCCCTGACCACTCTGCCCCCATCTCCTATCTCGAACAAACCATCTGTCACCCCGTGTTTACGAGTGGTCCAAATCGAGAGAAAAGATGTCTTTCTCAAACGTGTTTAGTGTTAAGAGTGGCCCTTGTGTCTTCCTGGTGAGGGGAGTGTGGCTGTGGAGCTGACCCCGCTGGGCCATGCGCAGGGGGGCGGATGGGAGCGGAAGTGGGGCGGGGAGTGCCAGCGGCTTCCTGTTGGGTCTTGTGCACTGCTCTGTGAGAGCTGTGCGTGCATGAGTGAGCAAGGGTGCATGTGTGTGCCCACGCCCGTGTGGGTGCCAAGCTGTGGGGGGCGTGCCTGCCCTTGGGGCACCGAGGGAAGCGGGATGCTGCCCGGGGCCAGGGTCATAGGTCACGTTCCCCTCTTCCTCCCCGCTGTTGAAGAGGCTTGCCTGTGTTCACCTGCTTTTCAAAAACTAAGTCTCTCTAGGCCTTCAGGAATGTCACTTCCAGCTTATTCCCCATGTTGATCATTTACCTTTAGGACACCTGCGTCTGTGGGCGTGCCATTCGGAGAGTCGGGGGCTGCTCTTGCACAGTGTTCTTCCTTGGGTCTGGTTATGGGGAAACGAGCAGGGCTGGCGTTTGGCTCTAACAAGAGCGCCCGGCTGGGCTGTTCTGGGAGAGACACAGCGTCCGCTGCATTCCTCTCTGGACAGCGCCACTACCTCCTGGGCTTCACCCACCAGCTCCATCGTAACCTCCGGAACCAGAGAATGAGGGGTTCAGGGTTCAGCTCGCAGCTGACAGAATTGAAGTGACTGCCCTTGCCTGAGCCAGTGACAGCTGAGCCCTTATCCCTTCGCCACCTTTTCTCCTCTCAGAGCCTTCTCCCCCCCCCTCTTTTTTTTTAAGGCACGTACATGTTCTTCTCCTACCCTGTGCTTGTCCGTGTTGGCTTTCGTTGTATGCAGCTTGTCCTTAGAGTGCCTGTCCCCGGTGCAGGTGCCTTGCATTCTAAGATGTGGGCATGGCTGTCAATCGAGTATGTACCAGACATACATGGAAGTACAGGTGATTCATCCACACTGAGAAAGAAAGTGCCCTGTTGATTAGATTCAGGAGCCATGTGTCTTAGTGAGGGCCAGGAGAAGGTTCAGTGCCAACCACATGGCAGGCAAGCAGAGCCGGTCCCCCACCATGTGGCCTCGCAGGGCATGGAGGGGAGGGGGTGGGGCTGTGGCCTCCAGAGGCTCAGGTGGTCCACTGTGCCTTGCCTCTCTCTGGGAACTCCAGGAAGCCAGGTTTGGGTGGGGCTATTTCCTTCCCTCTTTTCTGTGGACCTGACCAGGACAGTGGGCGATGGGTCGTGTAGCAGGTGGCCCCGTGGGGTGCACAAAGGCATTGCACCTGCTGTTCTGAACCTTGGCTCTGAGGAGTGTGTTACAGACCTGCTTTGCGGGAGATGCCTCTCTGGGCTGTTCGGAGCTGGTGGGCCCCGCACCTTCTCCAGGCCCCTACTGCTGCCCTGTGGTATTTGTGGCCGAGGCCTATAGGCATTGCAGGAATCGGCCCCGTGGCACAGACTCACCCAGGGCCAGGTGCCAGCCCAGGGGCTCAAGGTGGTTCTGTGCTTTCTTAAAACATTTGCTTTCTGAGAACATCAGCTGTAGGCTTATCACCCAGAAGAGACCACTGTGAACATTTTGGTGTATAGCCCCCCCACCCCCCATGCACACATTTGTTTGCTTTTTAAACTGAAGTGGGAACATGAAACACACTGTTCTGCATCTGGCTTGTTTCACTTGATAATTTATCTTAGGCATTTTTCCACGTCATGAACAATGATTAAAAACATTGTTTTTAGTGATTGTAGAGCTTAATATGGTTATCATTTTTATCATAACTTATCTGACCATTTTCCTGTTACAAAACATTTAGATGGTTTCTGGTTTTTCACTATTTAAATAATGCTGTGATGAATACCCTCATAAATCTTTGATTTTGACTCTGATCGCCCCCCACCCTCGGTTCCTAGAAGTAGTGTTTTGGGGTCACAAAGAGTTTGTTTTAAAGGTTGTATTAGTCTCTCTTCCTCTGTCTTGATCTGAGGCTTAGATGCTCAGAGTTCCAGCACACAACCTCCTCAGTTGTCCTACAGATTCTGGACAAATCAGTTTCTGCTAAGGTGTGTGTTCCAAAGAACGTTTTAATAAGACTGCGCTTTTTTTTTCCCCCCACAATGCTAAAATGATATCATTTATTGCAGTCCTTTTGTGACAGATTTTTCCAAAAGTGCATTTCCTTATTTTCATTGACAGAATCTGGTGATGCTTGCATGTTAGTTACCTTCCCATCCCTGCTGCTGTGGCTTTCACCTGCTTGGTGATACTTTCAGAAGCTCGTACTTTGTGTCCACAATGGTACTGAATTTGCATCTGCACAGGCTTAAGAGAGAAAAAGTGTTGAACTGACCTTGCCACATGCATAGTAGATGATTTGTAATTAAGTGTGTAGACTCCGAAAATACATTGGGCCATTTGGAATCAGTAAAAGAGCAAAATCTTACTTGAGAAGGAGACCACTTAGGCAGTTGGGTTTAACATAAGGTTATTTGCCCCCATGCTCTTCAAATGGTGGCACTCAGTAGGAAAGTCTTATCAGTTAGTAGAGCGCAGTGGCCAGGCCTTTTCACTGTAGAGGGTGATTGTCCTGGCCCACATGGCTTTCGGGACTCCTCCCCTGTCCTCCCTCACGGTGTTGCAGGTTGTCTGGCTGTCTTCAAACCCAGAACACCCAATTTGGTTTCATTCCTAATTTCTCCACTTTAGTTTGGGGTCCATTGATTTTGAGAGGAGAGGTGCGTGAGAGATTTTTTAGGTGCTGTGCTCAGTGTCACTTGAGTCTACCAGAGATTTTTGGCTGGATTGTGCAGAATTGGACTTACTGCCCTCCTCTGACACCCCAGGTCCCCTGTCCCCTGTCCGGTCCACAGACTGAGGGTGCTCACTCCCCAGACCGCGGAGGCTGCAGCCGCTTGCCAGAATAGGATGCAGGTACTATCCTTAGAGATGTTGTCCTGTACATTTTTCCACATTGTTTGTTTTCATCCAAAGCTCAAATGAGCTGACGGTGACTCAGGTGGGTGTGGCACTTCCCACTTAGGGCAGCCTATACTGGCAAGTGCCCCAAATCAGGGCAGGAGTCTCTTCCAGAGCATCTGAGGGGGGGCAGGCTGCTGGCCCAAAGTTGGGGAGTTGCAAATCAGGCTGCCTGTGGAGAACTGGTCTGGGGAAGGAGCTGTTCCAGCCAAGAGCAGTTTTATCTGTAGCTCAGCTGTGATGGGCAACTGAACTAGCCTACATGTATACCTGAATTTTCTCCAGAACCCACTTCAGTGTGAAGAGACACCAAACTTCGCATACAGAGAACTTTTTACAAAAGGCAGACCTTTTTTTAGCGTGTGATCCACCCTAGTCCCAACCAGTCTGGGAGAATGACTTATGAATAGGGGTCGTTTTGCTGTTGAAAAGCCTCTCCTTACCCGAAGTTCAATTGGACATTGACAAAAATAAATTTTTGCATTATTTAGAACTGCTGTAGCTGTTCCATAACGCAAAATCGGATGAATCAATAGTATGTTAGCTGTCTTTCAGGTTGGTGGCAGTCAGTTAGAACGTGTAAAATTCTCTACCTGGTCTGTAGCTGTAACTGTGATGTACAGGCAAAGCAAAAATTTAAAACTTATGAAAACAAATAATGCAATGATATTAGGATATACACTTTTGTATTTTTATTCTTATATAAGGTTATTTGCTGGCTATTGTTGGCCTCTAGTTCAGTCTGTGTTATTTAAAATCTAATATATGAATTATTTGGATTGAATTCATGTTCGGGGCCACGTTGTTGTATGTATTGATGTACAGCCTTGAATGTGAATAATTATTGTAAACTATATTTTACAACTTTTTTTCCGGCTTTATTATATAAATTTTCTATTTGGTCAATGATTTAATCATAATTTAATGAATCTGTTTCTTCTCTTTTTTTCAAATATTTGTGCTTTAGATGTAGTTACTGGATGATGAATTTTCCACGTACGCTCGGTAGTCTTGTAATAAAAAGCATGTAGAGTGTAGACGCTCGCTGGCCTAACTCTTCTTTGACCGGGGGCGTGGGTCGGGCTCGGTGGCCACCTGCATTCCGGGCCCGGAACCCAGCGTCCGTGCGCCGCACGCGCGGGGCGGGGGGGGCGGAGGCCGGCGAGGCCCTCGAGCCCGACGCCCGGCTCCTGGCGGAAGGGGGCTCGGCCGGCCGCTTTTCCGGACCGGAACTTCCGCCTGCCGCGTGACACCAGGGCGGGCGTTTTACGAGGGCGGACCCGTGGGCGGGACAGAGCTCGGAGGACTGTATTAAAGGCCGGACGCTTCCGGTGGAGAGGAGCTGTGGCGGGGCTTGCTGGGATCATGGCGGAGAACCACTGCGAGCTGCTGCCGCCGGCCCCGAGCGGCCTCGGGGCGGGGCTGGGGGCCGGCCTGTGCCGCCGCTGCAGCGCGGGGCTCGGCGCCCCGGTCCAGCACCCCGGCGGCGTGTCCAAGTGGGTCCGGCTCAACGTCGGCGGCACCTACTTCCTCACCACCCGGCAGACGCTGTGCCGGGACCCGAAATCCTTCCTGTACCGTCTGTGCCAGGCCGACCCCGACCTGGACTCGGACAAGGTGAGGGCCGCCCGACTACCCGTGCCGGGCCGGGGAGGCCGGGCCTGGTGTCCGGGCGCCCACCGCCCTCGAGGAACCGCGGCCGGCCCGCCTCGGCTCCCTCTCGCCCTCTCCGTTCCCCGGCGGAGCTTTCCCACACCCCGGACCTTGCTGTGGATCCACTTTCTTTCCCCTCTAGGTTCTCATGGCCCCGCTGTGTGAGCGTCTCCTCTGTGGCCCCGTGTACTTAGTGGCCCTGGAATCGGAGAACCCTGGCCTCCTCATCTGCTCGCATTCCAGACGTTTGACTTTACGTTGGCGTGGGGGGGTTGACACGGGTGACCTGCCTTTCCCAGTGACTTGCATTTAGAGAGTTGGCGCTCCGTCGTTTACAGCCACAAAACGCTCCCATCGGCACTCGCAGAAGGG